ACTTCGGACGATTTGCCAGCCCTCTGGCCAGCTCTCTGCTCCGGCGACACAGCTCCTGCAACTATGATGGCGGAGCTCCCAGGTGACGTAACGGGGCTCACCGGCGACGACGTCGAAGCTTGAGATTCCGGCGAGGGTTTCAAGCTTTGGTCAGAGGAAGTCTATTTCAACCTCCGGGCAGCGAACGGCGAAGAACCAGACCTTAGGGAACTCCGACAAGCTCCAATCGATGGCGGCGGCGGACGGCGGCGGGCGGCGGCGGCGGACGGCGGCAGACGGCGAACTCCGGCTCTGATACCACTGTAAGGATCGTATACTTCCGTCTCCGGCTCAGGTCTTTCTACACACTCTCACACACCACTTTAGGGGAGGCTTTGCACAACTCTAAGTTTTTATCTCAACCACTAAGTCCCTCTCAGTTCTCACACAAAGGGAAAGAGAAGGAGAGCACTGCTCTCTGGAAGGGCTATTCTCGCAGGCTGCTTCAACAAGGAAAGAAGCAAGGCTTCAAATAGGCTGTCAAGGGAGTTCACGGGTGAAGCTAGACAAAAGACAATCACATGTTACCAATACAAAGGAGAGTCACATGTATAGGCCAAGACAAAGTGATGCAGCGGACAGAACACAAAGGGGGCCAGCCAGTAGGAAAGTCAACCCTCAAATAGGTATACTTTATTGATCAGATAAAATACCAAGGTAGAGATACCAAAGTGGGAGTAAAACAATAGGGTGCAAGCCTCAGCAAATAAAGTGGAAGGGAGGCCTTGGTAGGACCAATACCTCCAACAGTGACAACCGACAAGTTGAGGTGACTGCCATCATGAGACCTTTGCTCATGTTTCTAGAATGATGGTTGTTCAATGCATACTATTCTCACCTTCATAGCATTCGGGGACCTAGAACTTCATTAAACGGACATTGACAATGTATTTCTTCACGATTATCTTATTGAAGATGTATCCTCCACATGGATACTCATTCTCACTCTGGAAATGTTTATCGTTTGATATGCTCTCTTTATACATACAGAATTTGACAAGCTCCACCAGGTTGGTTCTCAAAGTTATACACGGTCCTCAAAACTTATTGATTTCAACCGTCACATGCTGATTATTCTATTTTTATCCATAAACGAGGTAACCATTTTTTGTCTTAGTATAAGTCAATGATATGCTTATTAAAGGAAATAGTTAGGATTTGATTGCCAATTTAATAGGATTTTCTCCACGATCTTTCTTTTCAAAGCTTTGGATCGGTTGAATTATTTTATTGGGCTTGAAATTGCTCGTAATCCCTTTAATATATTTTGTGTCACTGGAAATATACTTTGGAAATTCTGAGCAAAGCTAGACTTAGTGGTGCAAAACCCGTCTCTTTTGTGCTGCCTCGGAATCATCATCTTCAAATTGACGATGTGTTACACCATCCCCAAATATATTTACTTTTAACAGATCATGTATTGAACCTTGAAAAATGGTTAATGAATTTATGAGGTTATAAATTTTTGTTATTACTTTTGCGCGAATAGTAAAATGCATGTGGGGCCCACATTGGGAGCGATGACATCCGATATTTCTGAGACCACATATTATATTCATCTTGGTCTAGATAATATTTATATGATGATGTGTGTTCATGATGGGCCATAGATATGACATAGAGTTGGCCGGTTTATCAAACGAGGCCCAAATTACGAGTATTGGTAATTCGGCAAATAACATACTATAATAAATTATGAGGACTACTAAATTAAAGTTGGGGAACACATATTCATTCTAGAGTCCCATAATAATTGGGAGAATGATATATATTTTATTTAACCCGATAAAATGAAATTTAATTTAAACAATTCGAGAAATATAATTTTCAGGACCGCACGTACAATTCGGGACATATTGATATGACCTACCCACCCCACGAATTTTTCAACCAAGTATGGTTGATTGAGTGCAAAGAGATAGGGAGACCAATTGAGACATGTATCAAAGGGGTCCCTCTCACACTCATTTGCCAAATGAGATAAAGGAAACCCATCCTCGCTCTTCCTATCTGTTGAAATATAAACTAGAATGATAATAAAGATGGAGAGAAGGATTTTCTGTGTATTTCATTAGTTGTGAAAGTCCCTATAAATATACATTACAAATAGAATATTCCTATATAAGATTCTATACAATAATATATCCTAAAGTATATTCCTAGAATATTCTGAAGTATATTCTAATATTCTAAAGTATATTCTATATCTTTCACACTCCCCCTCAAGTTGGAGCATAGATATTTATCATGCCCAACTTGTTACATAAGTAACCAACTCGGATCCCATTTAGTGCTTTAGTGAACAAATCTCCAAGTTGTTCTCCAGTCTTCACATATCCCGTAGAGATCAATCCTTTCTGTATCTTCTCTCGAATAAAATGACAATCAACCTCAATATGCTTTGTTCTCTCATGAAATACTGGGTTGTTGGCAATGTGTATGGCAGCTTGATTATCACACCACAATTTAGCAGGCATTGGTGTCTTCAATCCGATTTCACTTAATAAATGGCCTATCCACATGATCTCACAAGCAGATTGTGCCATAGCTCGATATTCTGATTCAGCACTCGAACGAGAAACCACACTCTGTTTCTTACTCTTCCAGGATACTAGGTTCCCTCCAACAAAGACACAATAGCCCGAGGTAGATCTTCGATCATCTTTAGATCCGGCCCAGTCAGCATCTGCAAAACATTCTATTCTCAAGTGATCATGATTTTGATAGACAATCCCGCGTCCTGGTGCTCCTTTCAAGTAACATAATATATGTTCTACAGCAGCCCAATGATCAATGGTCGGAGATGACATATATTGACTCACAACGCTCACAGAGTAAGCAATGTCTGGACGGGTGACTGCAAGATAATTAAGCTTTCCAACCAATCTTCTGTATCTTTCTGGGTCTTCGAATGGTATGCCTTCTCGGGTGAGTTGCACATTGGGAACCATGGGAGTCGTGCTTGGCTTTGCTCCCATTTTTCCTGTTTCAGCTAGTAAATCAAGTACATATTTACGCTGAGATAGAAATATACCTTTCTTACTCCGTGTTACCTCAATACCCAGAAAGTATTTCAACGAGCCTAGGTCTTTTGTTTGGAATTGGCTATGAAGAAAATTCTTAAGGGCCAAAATACCTGCAGTATCACTTCCTATAATCACAATATCATCGACATACACCACAAGCAATGTGATACCTGCTTTCGTTCTTTTGTAAAAGACAGAGTGATCTGATTGACCTTTTATCATTCCAAACTGTTCAATAGATTGACTGAATTTTCCAAACCATGCACGAGGACTCTGTTTCAAACCATAAAGAGATTTGCGAAGTCGACAAACTTTCCCATACTCCCCCTGAGCAACAAATCCCGGAGGTTGCTCAATATAAACTTCCTCTTGAAGGTCACCATGCAAGAATGCATTTTTAATGTCCAACTGATGTAACTGCCAATCATGAGTTGCGGCGAGTGAAATAAGTAACCTGACAGATGTTAATTTAGCAACAGGAGAAAAAGTGTCAGAATAGTCAACACCATAGGTTTGAGCATAACCCTTCGCAACTAATCGAGCTTTCAATCGAGCAACAGAACCATCTGGGTTAACCTTAACAGCAAAGACCCACTTACATCCAATAGACTTCTTCCCTGTAGGCAAGTCTACCAAATCCCAAGTACCATTAAGATCCAAAGCATTCATTTCCTCTACCATGGCATGACGCCATTCAGGATGAGACAAAGCTTCTTTGACAGATTTGGGAACAGAAATAGAATCAATGGAAGCAATAAAAGAACACGAGGCAGAGGATAACCGACTATATGACACAAATGAAGAAATAGGATGAGTACAAGCCCGTGTACCTTTACGTAGTGCTATCGGGAGGTCAAGATCTGATGTAGAGACAAGATCTGAAGATGCAGGTACTGGTTCAGGACATGAGATCGAAGTCAGATCAGTATCAGGATAAGTAATCACAGGTGTCACAGGTGGAGAGTGATCTGGTGCTTTGTGTCGACGGGTGTAAACCAAGTGTACTGGAGGTCTAGGGTCAGGAACAGTAACATTCGGTATAGTTACTGAAGGTGTGGCCTCAGGTATAGTAACTGTGTAAATGAGTATGTCATCATTGTCCTCATGAATATCTGTCTTGGATGATGACAAAGGTGTATTTTCATGAAATGAGACATCAATAGAAATAAGGTATCGACCTGTACTTGGACAAAAACATCTATACCCCTTTTTTACTCGAGAATAACCTAAGAAAATACATTTCAATGATTTGGGATCCAACTTCGTGCGATGAGGGTTAACATCTCTAACAAAACAAGTGCAACCAAATATTTTAGGTGGAATGGGAAAAAGTTCTTTATTTGGAAAAAGGCATTGATAAGGAGCTTTACCATCCAAAACAGAAGATGGCATACGATTGATCAAAAAACATGAAGTAGACACCGCATCAGCCCAAAACTGTTTAGGCACATTCATTTGGAATAGAAGAGCCCTTGCAGTTTCTAACAGATGTCGATTCTTTCTTTCAGCAACTCCATTTTGAGGAGGTGTGTCTACGCATGAAGTTTGATGAATAATGCCATGTTGAAGCATAAAAGATTTAAATGGAGCAGATAGATATTCTTGGGCATTGTCTCCCCTTAACACACGAACAGGAACATTAAATTGAGTTTTAATTTCAGCACAAAATGCAGAGAAATGAGTAAATAACTCGGATCGACGCTTCATGAAGTACAACCATGTCATACGAGAATAATCGTCAACAAAAGTAACAAAATATTTGAAACCAGATTTGGACACGACTGGACATGCCCCCCAAACATCGGTATGGACAAGATCAAACAGAGCATTTGCTCGTTTATTAAGTCGGGGACTTAAACTAGTGCGATGATGTTTTGCAAACTCACACGACTCACATTGTATAGATGACACCTTATTAAACTGAGGACGTATTTGCTTCATTAGTGGGAGAGATGGATGTCCTAATCGGTAATGAGCTTCTAATAGATTTCCAACCCCAAGACAAGAGATACCTTTTGTGATTGATGTATCCAAAATATAAAGACCAGCCGACTCATGTCCTTTACCAATAGTCTGCTTCGTTAACAGATCCTGAAACAAACAATATCCCGGAAAAAATGTTACAGAACAATTAAGAGTACGTGTGATTTTACTGATGGAAAGCAGATTAAACGAAAAATTAGGAAGACTCAAAACAGACGATAATGGTAATGTAGAAGTTGGTACAACAGTACCGGATCCAAGAACGGGTGAGGTAGACCCGTCAGCTAAAGTGACACTGGAAGTAGGTAAATGTGAGTGAAATGATGAGAATAGACTAGGATTACCAGTCATATGATCTGTGGCACCTGAGTCAATGACCCATTTCGAGGATGATGAAACAAGACATGTGTTTGAAATACCTGAATTTGCGACTACCGAGATAGGGATAGAGGAATGCTTTAGAGATTCTTGGTAGCAAATAAATTTAGCATACTCGCCTGAAGAAATAGCAATGGATCCATCAGATGAGCTGGTAGCGGAAGCAACATGAGCAATCGAATTTCCTTGATTTTTGAATGCCAATTTTCTACATTCTTTGATCAAGTGCCCAGATTTCTTACAGTAGTTGCATATTAACTGTTTTCCAAATTCACGAGGACAGAACATTTTTTTTTTAATTCAAAATTGAGATAAAGGTGGAAAACTTACATAAGCCTTTCCCATTTGTGGACTAAACTTTGGAGAATAGAATATCCAATTTGCTTGGGCCGTTGACTGCTACTCCAGACAGAATTCCTATGCAAATCCCCACTGAATAACAACCAGACGAAAACAGTGCGTATGTCCGCAGATATGAGCGTGCGTATGTCCGCAAGATAACGCAGATTTCCGATGCCAGCCAAGACCCAGCCCTGCTTCTATCTATACCTGGATATTGCTACAGGACACTCCGGCGAATCTGACTATGCTCGCCGTTAGAATCTCCGGCCAGAAACACGGCGTCACGCGCCGGCGCGTGTGTTGGCTGCGGGAGCTTCCGACGGCGCGTGTAACTCACGCAAGGTGATTTGGGCGTGCGGACTCCGGGTGGTTGGTCGACGGCGGCAGCCGAACCGGAGGATGAGGGGGGTGAACCAGAGTGTGAAAAGGCTTGCCGGCTTCTGAGATGGGAGGTTCTGGAAAGAGGTTCTGGGAAGAAGTTCTGGAAAAAGGTTCTGGGAAAAGTCTGAGATCAGAGGTTCTTGAAGACTGTGGACTGAAATCAATTTCTTGAATAAAGAACACAGTTTGAAAACTAAATTGAGATAGAGATAATGGCAAACTAAACTGAAATCTCAAAGGAAAAGCTACATGAAATGGAAGGCTTTGATACCATGTTGAAATATAAACTAGAATGATAATAAAGATGGAGAGAAGGGTTTTCTGTGTATTTCATTAGTTGTGAAAGTCCCTATAAATATACATTACAAATAGAATATTCCTATATAAGATTCTATACAATAATATATCCTAAAGTATATTCCTAGAATATTCTGAAGTATATTCTAATATTCTAAAGTATATTCTATATCTTTCACACTATCATTGTAGCTTGACCAAACCCAAAAGGAAAGAGAAGAGAAGCTCTGTATATTCACCATTTTCATAGCAAATTCGAGCTCAAGCAAAGATAGCTCACGAAAGAAGTTTTAAGAAGGAAAAGTGAGGAAAAATTTGAAGGATTAAGGTAATGATCCCATAATGACTTATTCTCCTTTGAAGCACATATCATATGACTTATACATCACATGAGGAGGACCCCTATGGTTGTTTTAGATGTGTACAATGAAGGGTTGGAAGGTGGTTCTAAGTCCAAACACGGGCTTAGAAGCCAAAATTATCGGTACGCCGGAAATTGACCCTCTTATGATTATGTGTATTAATATAGGTTTTGGGATGTTAAAACCTTGTTAGGAACTTTTCTAAGGTGTTTCTAGTATTCTCACGAAGTTGAGATAGTTGACGGAATTATCTCCGGAGTTCAACGAAGTTCGCCAGAGTTTTATCGGAGTTCAACCGAAGAGGGTTGAACTTCTTAAAGCTCATTCGGGGTGAGTTGACTGCTTAATGTCTTATAACTCTTGAGTTAAGTATGAAATTACCTAAAGAAATGTTATATGCATTCATAATGATGTTTAAAAGAATTTAAGCATGTAATCTGTCAAGGTGATTAGGCTTAAGGAAACTAAAATAGTATATTATGCTTGTAATTGAATTAAAATGCATATAAGAACATGTGTGATGATTTGAATGGCATTTATTGATTGTTTATGACTTGATACATATTGTGTATAAGTTTCAGAGCAATCGGAGTTTGTTTGGGGCAGACGGTGGACCGGCGCCAGTTAGGTGCCAGAACTGGCGCCGGTTAGGCTACCGCCAGTCCGGTTCAGGCAATTTCTTGGTGAACTGGCGCCGGTCAGGCAGTGAACCAGCGTCGGTTCGGTCTCGGGTTTCGGGGCCGGTTTTTTATAAAATGCAATTTGGGGCTCGATTCAAGGTAGAACCAACCCTGACCATCCTATATATGTATATTTTACATGTTTTTGCATGGAATATGATGTTTAAGGGCTAAGTCATGGATTAGTCAGTAGTAATAACGTGATATACATGTCATAATCGAGTAAGGTATATGGTATATCACAGGTTCGGGTGGAGTACCCAATGAACGGGCGGTGTCCTTAAAACTCATAGATAGGGGTGGAGTACCCGGAGACCAGGCGGTGTCCTCAAAACTCGGATATCATGGGTGGAGCATCCAAGATCGGACGATGTCCTAAAACTTGTTATTATCGGGAGAGTGGTTTGGTGGCTGAGTAAGGCTATCAGCATTCGGGTATATAATGAACCCTAGGTTATATCAGGAAAGCTAAACAAGAGGTCAGATATGGGTAAAGTCAAGGACTAAGTCCACCATGATTTTATTGTTGTGATCAAATGACGTACGGTTCAGATATTTTCCAAGTGTATATACTCATATGTATTTCAAAGACTTGGGGGGAATTATAAACGTATGTATCACCCTATGTTGGGTTTTATACTTGAAACGTTAGTTATTCTACATTTAGTCTGCTTCACCATTACTCGTGTACTGACCCCTTCGGGGCCCTACAAATTCTAAGTTGAAGCTAGAGCTTGTTATCTGCGCCTTTGCACGGGTGAAGTGATCTCAAGGAAGACGTGGTTCGTGCTTACTTTATTGATTTGAAACCATAAACTATGCTCATGGATATTTTTGTATTGAATAATTTGTTTTGGGCCTGCGATCCCACGTTTTGCCACATGTGGCTCACTGGCCCATGACCGACTCTTGAATATTTCTACTATTCATTCAATCCAAAGTGTGATGTTGTTATGTATGTTTACTTACTAAGTATGGTATGAATTATGTCCATGGACGTCTTGTACAATCGAGTGAGTGTGAACTCCGGGTGACGACACTTGATTGTACGGGGGGGAGGGGGGTTGTACTCACGTCTAGTTGCGATCTAGGGCGTGGCACGATGACCCTTTCTTTCACGATCCAGTGCAATGCCTCCACACTATAATAAAATTTGTTTACTTATCTCTCACTCATCCTAATATATCCTATATTGTTCATAAGGCGCCCCAATTTATGCAACTCCACGGTAGGCTCACTTGATTCCACACTTCACGTTCTTTGCTATTTAAAGGGACATTCGGGACAAGGCATTTTGCTTCGACGTGAATATTCAATTCCATACACTTAACTGAGTATTGTGATTTAGATTGGGTCAGTTGTCCTCTTACTAGTCATTTAGTCACGTGATATATTCTTGTGACACTAAGACATTCTAACATTTTATGACACACAAAGATACATGTCACCATCTCTCACTCCCAGGGTAAGACAGAATATTGGTTCATGGTTACACTGACTTGTGAGCTAATATAGCTTCTGACTCTTCTCGAATAACTAGCAGTTGAGCAGTTCCTCGTTCTCAAGCAATAACTTTAGAATGTGATAGTCAAACTACTGTTCATATGGTATCCGATAGTCCCTTTATTAAACGAACTAACAACATAGAAACCGGTTGCAAGTTTATTCATGAACAAGTTCAAGTTGACATTATCTCTCTCATATAAGTCTTCTACTGAACAACTTAATGACATATATACCAAGCTCTTTGGCATTGATCATTTTATGTACTTATTGATCGATGGGCATGCGTGGTCCTCATGCTCCATCTTGAAGGGATATTGACAAATTATTTGTACATAGAATATTGGTTATTGTAACATTGGTTTTGCACACAAATTACTTCCTAAAGGAAGAGTAGCACTATTTGTCATATTATTTCCTCGGAGAGAAAGTTAACTGTATTACAACAATACACGTTCTATTAGGAAGATGAACAAACGGATGTAATATTATGTAGAGAAACTTGTTGATTCAGTCCCGTAACTTATAGCTATACCCGTTATTGGTCCTATAACTTTAGTAACTTGCAAATTACATCCCGTAACTAATAAGTTGGTGGAATTTTGGTCCTTCTCTACCGGAACTTACCAATTTCTCCGGAAAAGGAAATGCCACTGGCCAGCAGGTCAATTGTTTGGAACCCATTTGCCGACTCAACTTTGGCCCTTAGCTGGAGTAAGAAAATCATCTCTCCAGCAAAGAAAGAAAACCCTATTACTGCGCACAACCTATTACCGGATCTGCAAAAGGGGGGGAAAGAACGTGTAACCCAACCTGGAGATAGCAATCCTGGAAAGAGGATTCATGTGTGTGCTAGAAACAGAGTAAGAAGTTCAACTTCTTTAATTTAGTTGATTTGCTTCTATTTTTTACTAAGTGGTATGCTTTGGAGAGAGCAAAGTGCAGGGAGGGTATTCGTGTGGAGGAGTGATCTCGTATTAATGTATCATTATTTCCTCTCATCTTTTTTTCTTATTTTTTATTCTTTTATCCTTATATATATACACATTATTTTTACCCTTTTTATTTTATCATTTTTAAGTATATTCATCATGTGTTATATTATCTTTTTTATAATAGCTTATTTTTTAATCTTCAAATTCTTTCTATTCCTTTTGATGGTGATATTATGTATCGATTCATGTTAGCCGACCCCAATGTCTTTTGGGACTAAGGCTTGGATGTTGTTGTTGTTGCTTCTATTTTTTACCAAACAAACTAGAAGTTTAAGAATAACATTTGCATGTGAAATTTATAATTAATTCGTTTAAAAAGTAAAGTGTATTTAAATTTAAGAATAACATTTGTTGGTCCATGATCTTGAATTTTAAAACGAAAGTGCATAACTGCATATAACAGTTGCGTACACTCTTTCTAAAAGGCTTAAACTTGTGAAAAAGGGATAAATTTGAGTCAGCAGATGAGTTCTAAATAATTGACCAACTGGCAAATGACATGTCTTTTTCCGTCAAAATTAGTAAGTTCCGGCAGAAAAGGACCAAAATTGCACCGACTTATTAGTTACGGGATGTAATCTACAAGTCACCAAAGTTACAGGACCAATAACGGGTATAGCTATAAGTTACAGGACTGAATCAACAAATTTCCCATATTATGTATATATACACATGCAAACGGGGTAATGAAGAGGTGAGCCGAATATTCAGTATGTTACTTTCTCCACTTTAGTACACTAATGCACATGTGATATGAGTCATGTGACAACAAAAAACATGGCATGTCTGTGAGGCATTGGTAAGGAAATCTTTGAATGAATCGCATACACGTACATTCGTATTTTATATGTTGATAGACATATCAAACAAGTTGGCATATACTTTTTTTTATGTTTAAACTAACGGTTTACAAATAGCATGGTGCTTATATAAAGGCAAATATATTGTGGGTATGAAGTTATGTT